GTGAAACATTGTGCCACCGGTACCCATTTGGTCAACGCAGATAGAAGATAGTGTTGCAATATGTGAACATGTTGATTACTCGCATTAGCCGCAAATGTAATACATTTGAGTAAAAAATTACCGTAAGATGTACCTGGAACGAGATTATGCGGGTAAATCAAAGTTGAGCAATCAAGATCAAGGCAATCTGATAGACTGCCTCAGTTGCTTTTGGGTCCGCAGTATCGGTCGGTTTACCGCAAACAGTAAGGCCTCGCTGTATGCCAGCATTGTCGAGTTGCGGTTGATCAATAGCCCTTTGAAAGCCTTCTATGGATACAGGTGATGACGTTTCACCACGAGGTGTTTTGTAATAGATGAGGCAGGGTTCGGTTTGAATTTGAAGGATCCGCATATAGGCAAGTCGATGGCGTTGTAATGGGAAGCCCACTTGGTTTAGTTCTGGTAGACATATTCTTGGTACTGATTGAAAGGAGGTTCGCTAACACCATTAATGAAGCTAAGCTGTATAAACTTTACGACGTTGACATTAATCTTCACTAGCGATGAGCATTTTAATCTAATCGTCACCTTGTTGTATTCGAGTCACTCCAATCTCTCCGTGTCGTATGAGAGGGAACAGCAAAATACCCTGCGGTTTTTAGACATCCTCATCAAGAGGCAAGCCGGAGGTACACGCCAACGCACTGTCTATCGTAAAGCAACTTGAAATGGCCAATACATGCATTTCACCAGTTTCGCACCGGTTGCACAAAAACGCGCTCTTGTCAAAACCCTTTACTACTGAGACAGGCGTAGTTGCAGTCTAGAGATACTGCAGAGTGAAGAAGAGTTCCTACACAGGAGCTTTTGTAAAACGGGCATCCGGAGAAATTTATTCAATTACACAGTAGACCCATCAAAGAGAAGCTACCAGTACAAACGGTGGAAAAAAATGTTTGTTTATTTCTAAGGTTCAAAGGGGAAAATGTTTCAAATGAAATTAGTCATAAACTTAGGTCTATTGTAACTTGCACTTATATCCCCGCGTGTCTACGGATCTTTCACACAACGCGGAAACTGGAGCTCAACTATCGTCCGGGCAATTGGTCAGTCAGTATGGCCTATCATATCATTTAACAGTTCACCTGCAGTTGTGGTGACGTCTATGTAGGCAAGACCGACCGGTGACTGGCCCAAAGGGTGGCTGAGAATTTCCCAAAGTGGTTGAAGCAATCCATGGTACAATATGGAGCGAAGGATCAACTGGAGAGCCGGAACCTCGACTCGTCTAATACGAAACACCTCGTGATGACAGGCCATCACGTGGATCCATCAAAGGCCTTCAAATCGCTATTGATCAACCGCAACTCGAAAATGCTGGCAGTGAGACATTACTGATTGCGGTAAACCGACTCATACTGTGTGCGCAAAAGCAACTAAGGCAGTCTATCAGATTAACTTAGTCTTGATTGCCCAACTTTGATTTGCCTGTATAATTTCGTTCCATATACACATAGGTTAATTTTTTGTTAAGGCAGAGAGAGGACAGGTTGCGATATGTCAACATTTCGATTGTTCTCTACAGTCGCAAACACAATACAAGTAGAAACACAAGGACTATGTACATGGAAAATATATTGTATACACTTATCGTCTTTAGGTAACACTTTTTAGGTTGCGGAGTTCCTGGATTAATAATCCGTCATTCTTGGATGCCGAAAGGGATTGAAAACGTGTATTCCCATGATTGTATTTTGCGGCTCCCAGATGTTGTACACGAGGTGGTCTAGAGTCAGCCGGCGATTCAAAAAGGAACGTTGGTCGATGATGAAGTGTATGAGGTGTTTGAAAGAATAGTCGATACGGCTAGTGATGTCATCAGCTGACGGAGTTGTGTAGTAAAGTGCAAAAGGTACACTACAAATATAAGCAACACCAGTCAAAATGTCAGTCAAGACCATGACAACCGAATTGATTGCCTCAAGAGTTTCGGTGCACATAGCGCAGGTTGATAGGCCTTAATTAACAACGCCCCATTAATGGACAGCATTATCGGGTTTTTGTTACGTAAGAAAGCTTTGAACGCTGTCTCGGGGTCCACCTGGTGACGGGTTACCATGAGGTGCTTGGTGATAGACGATACCGGGCTCCGATTAATTCTCAGATCCGTCCCATTTTGTTGCGTAATCACTTGTCCCAACCACTTTAGCAAATGTTCAGCTACCCTCTGAGCTAACTGACGGTTTGTTCCGCCTATGTAAATGTCACCGCAACCGCAGGTGAACTAATAAACAACGCGAGAGGCCGAACTACCCGACAAGATTCTCTGACGGTTATGAAGAACAGGTCCTCGTGTGGTATACTTGAGTCGCAACCGGGCTGTCCTGTAGGTGCGCATTAGGGCGGACCGGAGTTTGCGTCCGATATCATTTGCCACATAGTTCCCCTTGAACGGCAAGAACAAATAAACATCCTTTCCCTCAGCCGTCAACACGGGTGTTTTCATGCTGAGAGGTATGGTGTGTACTTGAGTAAACTTCTCGGGACACCCATTAGAAAGTAAGGTCATGCGTAAAATTTCATCTTCGGGTTTTAACATTTGGGGGCTGCAAATACATCTAGCCTGGTAGAAGAGAGTTTTCACTAAGCTGCGTTTGTATGCGATCGGAGCGAAGCTTGAAAAATGAAGGCAGTGTCCACTCCAAATTGATAGGCAGTGAACGGTGCGCTGTAACATACCTTCAGCCCGTCTCCTAATAAGTATATCCAAAAACGAGAGGCAGAACAAGTCGTCAGTTAGCTCAGAAGGTAGCTGAACATTTGCCAAAGTGGTTGGGACAAGTGATTACGCAACAAAATGGGACGGATCTGAGAATTAATCGGAGTCCGGCATCATCTATCACCAAGCACCTCATGATAACCCGCCACCAGGTGGACCCCGAGACAGCGTTCAAAGCTTTCTCACGTAACAAAAACCCGATAATGCTGTCCATTAATGGGGCGTTGTTAATTAAGGCCTATCAACCTGCGCTATGTGCACCGAAACTCTTGAGGCAATCAATTCGGTTGTCATGGTCTTGACTGACATTTTGACTGGTGTTGCTTATATTTTCCATGTATATAATTCTTGTGTTGCTGATCGTATTGTGTTTACGACTGAAGAGAACAATTGAAATACTGACAAATCGTAACCTCTGTCTTCTCTCTGTCTTAACGAAATGGCTGAAGGGGACCCATTGTTAATTTTTTACCCAAATATATTACGTTTGCGACTGATGAGAGTAATAGAAATGTTAACATATCGCAACCTTGGTCATCTGTCTACGTTGACCAAAAGAAATAATGAGGGACAACACAGACGCCCTAAGTCACCATAGGAAACGCCGCCTGGTTTAATTGACAGAGCATCCTCAGGATTGGTTCAGTTAGCTCCTTGTCTTTGCGATGCTCTGAGCATAAGTGGCGTATAATAAAACATGGGCCGGCTCGTAGCCTTAAGGGTCAAGCGGCTGCCTTGTAATCTGAGAGTGCGGATTCGAGTGTCCATTGGGAGCGGGAGACCCTCGCAGTATCCTCAGCCCAAGTGCGACTGGTGGTGGTTGCGCGGCAGCAAAGCGTCGGTACTGTGTCCCGGTGTACTGCTGATGCCTAACTAAGCCGTGGATAGGTAACTTAACGATGCCGAGTTTCGGAACGCTGTCACGGCACTTTAGCGCCTATGCGTTGATTGAAAGAATTTTCTCGTGCACTCAGTAGCCAAGGACGATAAAGACCTGCAAAAGGCGATGTATATTATATTATATATTATTATTACATTACAAAATCTCAAAAACTGTAAATTCCCAGTCGGATCCCAAATATTGAACAATGCTGAAATGCACCGAAAAAAACTGGTCTTCCATCTAAAAAAGGATGAAAGTGATAGCATTTTCGAACCAGAGCGAATCAAACGTACAGCAATACGAAAAAAGTTCAGCGGCAGCGCCTGAGCTAGTCACGAGCATGTTCGCTTGACGGAAGCAGTGCCAACGTTACCGTTATCCAATCCTGCCTAACCGTCTAATTGTGGAACGCGATTCAGAGGTGACATAAAAATAAATGGGTTTTCAGCAGGGACGGGTCATAGTTTTACTCTGCGTGAGTGCTAAAGCAGCGTCATACGTGCTGTAGGATAACTACAGATATGTTCCGCAAATTCAAAAATTCACTGGGCTCCGTTGATCTCTTTGTGTTCGACAAGCTTGCCATAAAGGAAGTTCCCATGAAACATTTAATAATTTGCTGCCTTTTATAACCGAATAAACCAAGGTCTAGGGCAAAATACTGACGTCTGCCTGACAACAGGTGGCGTTCTTCATAGCTGCTGCGTCATATTTTTTTATACAGCCTGACCGTAGACAAAACCACAGGTGTCCTTTTGTGGAGCCTTGGGATACAGATATTGAGCACTCGTTCAGAAGAAAAGTAGTTGATTTGGGTACGAATTTGCTTGAAGGTAGGTCGTTTTCAACGAAGTCACTTAGAATGACACACTGTAGATCGTCCCTTGATTGGTGACGAAACGGAACCGAATCGCCCAACTCGGCGTACAACTCAATGTCTTAAAAGTTAACCTGAGACATCAATAGTTCAACTCGTTGTACATGAACAACTGCAGCTGTGGTTGATAACAAGGAAAACACAAGGGATGTGAATTGTCGACCATTGTCCAGAAGTGATAACCCAGAGATGCTTACTATGCTTTCCTGTTTAGGCAAGTGATTCTTTTGGCTACGGAGGTAAGGTCTTGGCCTCGAAATAAAAAGCTGCATTAAAGCGCATGTTTACCTAGTCGAGGCATTATGATAACCGTATGAGGCGATAAGCAACCATAAATGGACAAATGGAAAGAAGGAGCATTTCCCGAAAGACTGCCCAGTGAGAGAACAAAAACAACCGTTGGGATTAGAAGTATGTTCGTGTGGAAAGTGAAAAAGTTTTGGAAGAGCTGAGAAATGAGTTGTGGAGGAATGGTGTAGTCAACTCTTGTCGAATGGGCACCCATTCAGTGTAGCCACAATTTGCCTTGAAGCTGGAGAAAAAACAACAGAAAATGATGAGAATGAGGCCAACAACTCATAGAGGTAAAAATTTCGAACAATGTGACCGCTTACACTTGGAGCTGCGATGCTCACATAACCAAATTCCCTGCCATGTGCCCAAAGCCAGCGTGCCGTCAGATACAGGCACCGATAGGCTGGGACCACCGAGGAATGCTTGTTTGGCGTGAGCCGGCTAAAAGAACAGAGTGAGTGTTGTGAGTTGAAATATTTCGCAAAACAAATGTTCCGTGAAATAGATGACGGGTAAGGTTACTTGATACAACGTACTTAAATGTACTGATTGGGAAGGAAAGAGGCGAGTGCAGTAAGCATACTTCGAAGGTTGGATGAAAACTTCCAGATTCAGCGTATGAAATCCCACGTCCATCCGGGTAGACATCATAGTGCACCAAGGAACTCGGACTGAGTGTACTCAAACACATAACAGCGAACTCCAAACTGGTGCATTGGTAAAGACACAATGTGATCGTCAACGATTTCCTGAACAGCATAGAACAGTCGATCCAAAAATTCCTCTTGATCTGCTAAGTATAGAGACTCCTAGCACAGAAGACCCAAGTTTAAGTGGTCCGGTTTCGACTTGGATTACTCCAAGTCAAAACCGGACGACCTACGCCTGCTCACAGGGGTAAATAAACTGCGTTGGGGAAAAAACAATTGCACAATAGCGTTCTTCAAATGGACATACCGTCGTTTAGTCAAACTTTCCCCATAGACCCATTCATCGAAATGAACAGTTCAAACTACCGGACAACATGCCGTTTTAGCCCCAGAAAGGATAGATAAAAGATGGACAATAAGTCAGTCCCTACAGGAAGAGAAGGACGAATCTACGTGAGCAACAGAAATTCTTAACATGCCTGATGTTTTTACACTCTGTCTATCGCTTGCATTTGGTGCAGATAGATTAAATCAATGCATAAGTTAGAAGAGGGAATCAGTGTTTCAGCACAGCTGTCTACACGGCATGGTTCTAAGTCCCCTGACCAGCATCGGGGGTACTGTAAGGGCAAAGCGCGTAAAGAATAAGTAAGAAGCGAGATTATAAAACTGGTGTGAATAAGGAAGCACTCACCATGTCATCTGGACCTTCGCAGCTGTGAGCGTAAGGCAGTGACTGAGAATAAAGACAGAACGTAAGTCATGGAAGTATCGAAAAGTGTGAAGATGATAAGACAGATCAGATACTCAGGCACAAGATGCAGTGTCGGATTGAAGAATGAAGGTCACAATATGAGAGTTTATACGAAACAAATATAGCCATAATGCTCAAAGATATGCCGCAGATCAAATTGGTCTGAACCCCAAGACTCCAAACTACTTGTAAAACTATGAGCGATACTGGGATGAAACTGATTACACAGTGTCGAAATATGTCGACGTTGAATGCTGAAGAGGGAGCACGTGTTTAATCTGAGAAGTATTGATTGCATCAGGTGGGACCAAAGGGTGCAAAATGTGGGATGGAGACAACTGTATACTGCAGCAGCGTTTCTGACTTCCCACTAATAAGGTCGGGAGATCCGAAGGGTCAAAGATGGTTACATCGCGCGCTAGCTAAGTCTGAAACTAATGTCAGTGCGTCTTACCTACAGCCAATCGATGACACAAAAGTGAACGCAACAATAAAAAGTTGTTAGCGATTGTCATGATGTTGGATGGTGAGCGGTTGCGAGAGTGAGAGAAAAGTCAAGTCCTCCATGCATGAGCTTTACTTGACAAAAGTTAATCATCTCAACTTAGAATCCACGATCCAGGAGAGCGAAACGGAGTTTAGTTGACCTCTAACAAGTGGTCAGCTTATGAGCAGAATAACAAGTGTATGCAGTCGTTGACACATAAAGGAGGCAAAACCATCGCACATCGACAAGGTCCAGTTATACCGAGGTGGTGTCTCCGAAAGTGTAGCTCCGCGCACTTGCCCTAGAGCAGCGCAGCAACTGCAAAAATAGACGCAGTGAATTATCGAATCATAGAATAAGCAAGATAAATCCTAAATAGAGGGCAGGAAAAAGGATATTCACGTTCACAAAATGAGTTTAGTAAACGAAAAGCTGCCTCACTATCATGTGAAAAAGAAGACCGAGCAAAGTGCCATCAAAGCATGAGGTAACAGAAAATGAGCTGAAAATGCTAAACAAGTTCCGTGAGGGTCACATATGTTGTACTGTGAAATCGAATAGCCTAATCGATTATAGAAGACAATACTGAAATTAGCAATAAGCAAAATATAGTTGGCAGCATATATGCGCACAGTAAAACCTCCAAAAGTTGATTACTAAGGGGAACTAACAAAGTGGTCAACATAAGGAAGTCTGGATCCATAGGTGACTTGCGCTGCAGTAGCCACAGACTCCATATCCAGTGAAAACTCGAAGGAATAAGACAAGGAGGCTTTTGAACTGGAGCCAAGTTGCATCAACAGAAAAGGCCTACACTCTCTCAATATATGCATAGCAGGAGCAATCTTGTCTATCTAGCTAGGAAATCATGCGTACCAGATATACAGAAGGCGGTGGCAAAGCCGCAGCATGCTCCACAATGGATGGAACCACCCTTTGAGTCAAACACGGCTACGAGGACGGTGCATCCCGTCTCCCCAAGCAACGAGCAACTGTCTACCGGAGCTGGCATAATCGAGGTAGCGGTTTTTCGACAGACAGATACCTCGTCAACATTCACATCAAGCGCAGCCACATCAGCGATTTCAGACAACCAGCACGAAAGTTCATCCCCATCAACAGCAGTAAATCGGCCAGTTGAACTGATGCTTCGCAGCCATACAACCATGAGGACCTATGAAATAAAGAATAAGAAGAGGGAGAGAAGGGGGACTTACCGGAAGACCTTAATGTCTTGAGCAAACAGTCAGAGTTAAGACCCCTATACCCTGTCAACAACATGCAGTCACAAACAGCAGGCTATCGTGCAAAGATAAGGCGATATCGGTGAGACAGCTTCCTTACGGCTTTCACTGCCCCTCGTCATAATCAGCCATCGCCCTGCAGATAACTCAATACTAAACACATTTTAAACAGGCAGTTCGACTAGGAGACGACAGCAGACGTGTCACTGCTGCCGACTTCGAATCATGTCCTGTAAAATCTTGAACCAAGCACATGGTGGCACGTGGACCCCAGCCTGGAAGACGAGACAAACAGACGGCACCAAGTTTGGTCGCCCGTGATTTTATTTCCAGCTGCCACGTCAACGCAGTTTGTTCACTGCTATCCGTTGTTCTAGGGAAATAGCATGATTATCATGGCCTAGTAGTCGCTTCCGCATATCATCGTTGCGGACATGCTGGTGTCAATGATCCGCAAACAGTGATGATCAAAGACTCGATGGCGCCTCAGATACAGACCGAAGGGTCCAAGTCTCAGCACCCTAGAGTAGGATGGGTCCATACTGTGGCCTTGAATATAGGGAATTCAAACGGGAGGGAAACTCATTTGTGACGCAAAAAATAGCAAAGAAGGCAGTTCTGGCTTTTACAATACGTGAACTGACTTCAGTTTCCATACGCACATGTTTGCTCGTACAGCTGCCAAAGTAAGTGAATTGACCAACTATCTCGAGTTCCCCATTATGTAGGGTCAGGGGAACATCAAATGGCTGGTGGTCCTGCAGCAACACTTCGCACTTTGAAGGTGTCAAGCGCATACCGAATAATGGGATCATTATAGACAGGCTATTCAGGGTTGACTGGGTCGCCGCAACATCGTAAAAAAGCAAGACGATATCGTCCGTCTGTCCGAGATCAGCTAGCTTGTCACCAGAAAGTACCAAAACACCTGCATCGTGAGGTTTCGCAAAGGAACACTCCATGATGGAGTCCAGGACAAAGTTGAACACAAATGGGGAAATTGGACAACCCTGACTAACGCCACTTGTTGTCGGAAAGCTATCCGACAGGTCACCGTAGACCCTGACGCGTCCTGTAGTGTTCGAGAATAGTGCACGTAAACTGCGCACATATTTCGTGGGCACATCTTTCCGCGCAAGTATTTCGAACAGAATGTATCAATCGACTGAATCGAAAGCACTCTTGAAGTGGAGGAACACAGCTATTGTCGGTCTTCGGTATGCGTGGGACTGTTCTAGCACCTGCCATAGAAGAAATATGGTCTATACAGCCACGTCCTGGGCGGAAACCTGCCTGCACTTCGTTAATCCTGGATTCCCGTTCTGCAGTGGGGCGACGAACGAGAATGGAGGCCAGTAATTTTGTCACAATTGGCGTTAGGCTAATACCCCCGTGGTTAACACAATCTGTGCGACTGCGCTTCTTGTGTAACGCCACCATAATGGATTCACTCCAGTTAACCGCGACGACCTCCTTCTTCCAGATATGTTCGAATAGGAAGGTCAGTGCTTTGTAGAGGACCTCACAACCATCCTTAAATAGCGCACGTGGGAGGGAATCCGGGCCAGCAGCATGAAAACGATTGAGGGCTGTGATCGCGTTTCGGACCTCAGTCTCCGACGGAGCCTCTAAACTAACCGCCCATGGCGCATCACCTAAGTAGGAAGAGGTCGGGGAGAAAGGGACCAGCTGAATTGATCTTGGAAGTGTTCCGCCCAACGAGCCATACGGCGCTCCTTATTGTGAATCAGATCACCCACACTGTGTCTGAATGTCTCACTGACGCCTGGCTACCTGGACTCAGTTGGGCGGATCAGCCTGAAGAGATTGCAATAGTTCCCTACTGCTCCTGCCTCCTCCATTTCTTGAGTCTTACTAGTCCACCACGCTTCCTTGTCAGCACGCAGGCTTCGCTCTAGTTTGCGCCTAATAGTTCGCCTGGTCACATCGTGCCCAGAGCCAGCCGGGAGATTTCTCCTATATTCCAACAAGTTCACCGACCTATGGATATCCAGTGACTGGTGCGGTAACGAATGATAGTGCCACAAGGAGATGCTCCTGCGTCGTGCATGGCGGTCGAGATCCTATTACACTGAAGCTCTATGTCATTAGAAGGGAGGAAGAGTGCGGTACGCAGTGCGTCTTGGTAGGTTTGTCTGAAAGAGGGCTGAGATAACTTCTCAACTGTCAGTCGAAGGAGAGGCTTGCTACGCCTCCCGGCAAAGTTCGTTGAAAGGCGACAGTGTACCAAGTCATGATCAGAGTCGACGCAAGCACTCAAGCAATCCAGGATGGAAGAACATCACTTGTAACTTTTATGGCAATGTGATCTATCTGGGTTCATCACTGGTCAGCTACAGGAGGACGCCAAGTAGCACTTCGGCGCCCACAGTGTTTAAGAGCTATGCTACTAAGAAACCGCCGGTGCTCCGCACACAATGGCAACAGACGCTGGCCGTTGTCCATTCGTTCGAAGTTAGGCCCATAAGTACAACCTAGCTGAGATTCTAAACAGCCCAGGTGACCTACTTGTGCAATCATGACCGCTGCAAGTACTATGATATCTGAACTGGTAGCACTGCGTAGTAACGTGTTCAGTTGGTGGTAGACGCCGCCCTTGGCAGCATCAGAACTGCAGTTGGTATGAGTATAGGCGAAAACAACAAACAGCGTCTTGTACTACTCCGTGGATTAACCTTAGCCGATTTCGTCAAACGGACTGCACACAAACGGTTGTTCACCGGAAATTCAATGACCTATCGACGACTCAGCCTTGATGCTGAGACTAATGATTACTCGAGCTTGAACAATGGTTGCCGCATCAGCGCCTCCAGATCCGTGCAACCAATAGCGAGAGGACAAAGCGGGCACAGTTGGTTCAACAACCCCGTGAGGGTCTTTGATCCTAAAACACTGCACACCGGTACGCGTTTCGATCCTGTTTGATCTCACCAGATGGAGATAGCAGGCATCGAACCCGGGACCATTGGGGGTGTTAGTCGTGACCGCTAGTCCTAAGCCACCGGGCAATACCCAATTTCCATCTGCTTGAGCCACGGTTCTCGTGGGCGAATGACCAACGGTCACTTCAATGGGAATCGCGGTCAGTATTGAGATTGCGTGTCGCAATCCATTTACACAATGTGTATTTCAAAAGGACCTCAAAACCAGTCTTTCGTCCTAGTTTTGTACTCACAACACACATGAATACCTAGCGTGTCTAACGTGCGTGCAAGTGCGGCCTGCTGATC